AAATGAAAGCACGTGGGAGACAAGCCAGCCGCAAACCCGACCACAAGACCCAGCCGGACAAATGAAAAGAAGTGCGAGACAAATGAAAGGAAGTGGGAGACAAGCCAGCCGGGAACCGGACCACAAGCACCCAGCCTGGGAGACAAATGAAAAGAAGTGGGAGACATATGACAGGAAGTGGGAAAAGAACTGGGCGACAAATGAAAAGAAGTGGGAGACAAATGAAAGGAAGTGGGAGACAAGCCAGCCGCGAACCCGACCACAAGCACCGAGCTTGGGAAACAAAAGACAAATGAAAAGAACTGGGAGACAAATAAAAGGAAGTGGGAGACAAGCCGGCCGGGAACCCGACCAGACCATCCAGCACCAAGGTGACCATTCTTTAAAGCATTGAGAACCCCTAACAGTAAACTGTTTGGGGAATTAAAGAGCAATACGTTATGCTTTACGACACGCATTTTAAGGATAATAGCGGCCAATCAGCCTCTGAAAGAGCCACTGTTCAAGCAAAAAGGCAACAACAATTAGAGAGCTGTGACATGCTATGACTATATTGCCACTGTGGTCATTTGTCTAACTATTTCGATTGTTTTCCTTTTGTGTGTTTGTTTCTCAGAATCTTATCATAGGAGCCAAGCAACAAATAGACATCTACTGTAGCTTACTGAAAGAAAAGCCTCTTGAGAGTAGGAATAGCTTGTGAACAACGCAACAATGAAAGATGTGAAGAAAAGGTCAATAAGTATGCAAATATAGAAAGCAATAGATCGATGAGAGAAACCAATTTACTGAAGGGCGAGCAAACCAATCACGGAAGGGTATAAACAACTAGACAAAGGAACAATGCTAAATGAGCCTGAAACAAGAGGGTTTAGTATGGGGAACACTGAAGAACCATACGAGGAGTCAAATAATACTCGAGAACGAAGGGAACGCTAATTGAAAGGAATGAATACAAATTCTCAATGCAAACACGTTTGACCTTCACAAAACATCGACAGGCTTAAAATAACATTTCACAATGTATGGGACCGTTTAAGAGTGTTTTGTTGATTCTATTGAGCCTGTCGATGTTCCTACACTTTTTCTGCATCTGACCTTGACGAAAACCATGACAGACTCAAACAAATAAACACTTTCAACAATCTATGGGGACCTTTAGGAGTTGTGTTATTTATTTTTATTTTTTAGCTTATTTATTCATTGTTGTTGTTTTGTATTTATTATATATATATATATTTTTTTTTTACATTATCATTTTTCTTTAAACATCATGTTCGAGCCTGTCGAGGTTTTGTGAAGATCAGGTGAAAACGAGGTGCTGGAAAAATCGACAAGCTCGAAACATATAAAAGCACCCAGAAGCCCCCCGAGAGTTGTTTTTTTTGGCCTGTCGTCCAGCCTTTGTATTCATGATTCATGTGCAGTTTGCATTGATTAAACATGTCAGTTTTTGTGTTCAGTCTATTGGTTCCTACTATGGCACGCTTTCCTTTGGACCAAACATGTTGCACCCCAAACTGTAGTGAAACACTGTAAATAGCGTTGATTTTGAAGAAAGGGCAGGTCCAAGAGAGATAACATAATACTTGTGTCACATACACATTGTGTGTGTGCATGTGTTTAGACTAGGTGCAATATAGAGATTTGAGGGATGAAAGTCGGAAGATGGACACAGGCTCGGTGTTTCCACTAGTTTGCGCATGCTCGACCAAGCTAAGGCATAGATGACGACATGAGCGAGCGGGGCTTTGACGTGAATGTACGGCTAGATGAGCAAACAGGCCTTATCTATGGCGGAAGTGAGCACAACTGCGGCACTTGGATGGACAAAATGGGTTCATCTGCAAAAGCAGGAAACAAAGGCAAGCCAGCCACGCCGCGGGATGGTGCAGCTGTGGAGATCATTGGCTTGCTGAAGTCTTCACTGCGCTGGGTATGTGAGCTGGACAAGAAGATCTTCAAATATGAGGGTGTCAAGACAGCGTCGGGCCAGTATCTTGAGTACAAAGAATGGAACCAGCGCCTTCAGGACAACTTTGAGCGGTTCTTCTGGATAGACCCAGATGAGAGGGGAGCGGTATCAAGCACTTCGATCTACAGAGACACTGTCGGAGCCAGTCGGCAATGGCAAGATGCTCAGCTTCGACCCAATTTTTGCATTGCAATGGCTGTGGCACCTGAGCTCTTTGCGCCAGAACGTGCCAACGCTGCTTTGGGTGTGGTGGCCACAAATCTCATCGGCCCTTTGGGGATTTGCACATTGGATCCATCTGACAAAGAGTACCATGGTGACTACCACAACGACAATGATTCTGGGGACATTGCCATTGCACATGGCTGGAACTACCACCAAGGTCCTGAATGGGTTTGGCCTTTGGGCTTCTTTTTGGAGGCCTGGCACAAAATGCAACATGACACAGAGTCTGCAAATCCAAGACATGCAATGCGATGGTTGGTGGGGCATCGATCTATGCTGCGCAAAGCGCCATGGAGATCTCTGCCAGAACTCACCAACAGCAAGGGGCAGCACTGTGACCACTCCTGCCCTGCACAGGCATGGAGTTTGGGCACGCTCTTGGCGGCATTGCGTGTGATGAACGAATGAGGGCACGTTTGTCATTTTGAACTCTTTAAGCGCCAAGCGCTTGGTATGACCAGAAGTGAGATGGGCGGAAGGCACAGGGCATCTGAACATGTCTTTTTGGTACATGAGTTGCATTGCTTCTGCGTGTGATTTGAGCTATGCGTCTTTTTGCCATGCCCGATGGGCTTCTGCGACAACTCATTTGAGGCTTTTTAAGAACCAGGCTGAGCCAGTTTCGAGGCTGTCCATGATCCCCTTTCAGTTCCGGCTGAGTGTTTGGGCCCTGCACCAAGTTGATTCCAAAAATTCACCGAGCGGTTGCCATTCTACACCAAGTGTGCCTGGTGGCAAGCGGGGCTGGGCAATCAGTTTATCGTCAATCACCCAGAAGTGGTGCCAGTATAGTTTTGGCAAGCAAACGTGTGACCAATCCTGGAATTGCAGGATTCACAAGAGTGCTTCAATCGATCGAAAGAGTCAACGTGATTCATGCCATCTCTTCCACAACATTTAGGTGACTTCTTAGTCTTGCACTGCTAAAAGATGTGGACAGCTATGCCCTTGTTCAATGTTTGCTGTGGCCCAAAAAACCGGTCCTTTGCGGCAAGACCTTCAGGACTACACAACAAAGTTTGGAGCAAATGAAGCTGAAACAATGACCTTTGTTCCCGACAATTGCATTTACACCAGCGTTCCTCCGTATTTGAGAAAGGTTCGGAACTTGGCCGCATCATCCCTCCAATGAAGTCTTGGCATCCTGTCGTGCAGGGAAAATAGAGCCATGCCAACATGCCAAGCCGCAGCCGGCCCAGAAAAGAGTCCTCCGGCATATGCAATCCCAAGCTGAAGAAGCTGAAGCTCTTGCACATCACAAAGAATGCTGGAACTGCCCTTGAGAAGTTGGGCAAAGAACTTGGAATGAAGTGGGGGAAACAGTGGAAAGAGCTGCAAATTCACCGTGGGAAGCTTCATCCACCTCATGCTGGACGCTTGCGGTCAGAATGGTGGCATGTCCCTCCTCAATTCTTTGTGGAAGACCCCTACAGTGGCTATGTGCCTTTTGCTGTAGTTCGTTGTCCCTACACGCGAGCGATTAGTGAGTTTCGATGTTGCTGGAAGGGGTACTGTGCGCCCGTGGGAATGGATGAAACCAAGAAGTGCCGCCGGAAAGAGGCAACCTCTTTGGACTTGAACCGATGGTTGCAACAGAAGCTGAGCCCGAAAGCAATACAACCACCTTACCAAAATGCCCACTTCATACCGCAGCACTTGTACATTTTCGATGCAGAAGGCAAACCCTACGTGGCCAAGGATGGACTGAACGAAGTGTCCAAAAGGGGCTCACAACATGCTCGGCAAATTGTCAAGAGAATGAACATGGTGTTTGAGCGTTTTGGTTTTGGGTCAGGACTGACTCTGGACTGACATTTTGCAGTTGTGGGGATCCTAGACATTGAGCACCGTCCATTCTTTCCCCTCATTGTGGTTGCGCTTTCAGGAGAACCTCGTGCGATTCGAGCACTTAACAGAAGACCTCGCAAAGCTAGGTGTGCACCATGGTATTGATTTTCCTCCACTTCCTCGAGTTAACGAGTCAGAGATGCCCAAATTTTCAGTTGAGGATCTTGATCAAGTCACCAGAGATTTGATAGAATCAGGATTTGCAAAGGACTTTGACCTCTTAGGCTTCCAACGGCTTGATCCGACACGCTCTGGCAAAGGGCCATTACATGCCGATCACTGAAGAGCTTGGCATCTCGGTCAACACTCTCTTGGCAGCTGGGCCACAACTCCTATGTGTGTTGTGCCGGAAGGAGCTGCGCATCTTTTTTGCGAGCAGCTGCGCAGATGCTGAAGGGCTTCGTACCACGGGGCTCGTGCAAACCGAGCGAGATCGGCTGTGAGGCAGGTTTGGCGAACGCGGCAAAGACTTGGTCCATGGCGACCAGATTTGTAAGCTGCAAAAATGGGCGCCAGATAAAATGTCACAGATAGTAACGTACTGACAGCACACCTTCAGAAACCATGCTTGTTTCCAGTAAGAGGTACGGTATGTTGTGATGTCCAAGGAGCTCGAAGAGCGCAGTAGCAGAAAGGTAGTCATGTAAAGCTTGTCATTTGGATGCAGGACACTGCCATCGAATGCCCGGCTTCAGGCCAAAGTGTAGAAGGTGAGAGCCAGATGCCTTGAAAGCCATGGCTGATGAGGCCAAACGGCCGAAGGTGACCCTGATTGCAAAGGCAGACAAGGGTGAGACACTCAAGGCGACTGGGCCTGGAGATGGTCGTCTTCGCCCGGCTCCTGCCAGGACAGTTCGGACCGAGAGAGACGTGAAGGTGATAAAGGAGTCTCACTCCAAGGAAATCAAGGAACCCAAAGAAGCCAAGGGGCCTGAAGTGACAGAAGTCTTGAAGCCACAGGAACCCAGGCCGCAAGTCCGTACACCTACCAGGCCCAAGGTGCCCGTCAAAGCGGCTGGAGCCCCCAAGCGAGTTCCGGCCAAACGAACGGCCGCAACGGTCCCCATGCCGGAGCCCAATGGAGTGAAACGCCCGCGCCCGGCAGCCAATGCATTGAACGTTGGTCTTGCCCCAACCCCCCCGGCGGTCACAACTGCCCCAAGCCCGCGCCCAGCGAAGCTGCCAGCCCCCATGGCACCAGCCACAAAGACTAATGGAGCAGATGCAGATGCCTGGAACTTAGTTGATCAGCCCTTTTAGAGTTACTTGAAGGCCTCGATTGCATGCACGCTGGCTTGTGACTCGTTTTGTGTCAAGATGGAGCAGAGTTCCTTTTGATGCAGTGATTTGTTATTGCTTGAGGTCGTGGTGACATCAGCGTCAGTAGTGAAGCCGCCTACCTTGCCAGCTCCACGGGCAGAGCCACCTACACCAGCGGCACCGCTTTCAGCGGCGCATTTCAATGTTGGCGGGCAAACCTTTCAGGTTGCAGCAAAATTAGTGAAGGCAAAGCCGGAGACCCTGTTGGCCAAACTTTTAGCCAAAGCAGACTCGAACCGGCTGATACATGTTCCTGTAGACATTTGCCCTGATCGCTTTCGGATTTTGTTAGACTGGTATCGCTATGGCGAAATCTGGGTGCCTCATACTACGGCGGTCAAAGCTGTTCTTCGGGATGCCGCCCGTAAGGAACTCAGAGATGAGCAGGTCTGGAAGGAAAATGAAGGAAAAGGCAGGAAAGAAAGAGGATTCAACTTTGATGTAACATGTTTCCAATACCCTTCCGCATGAATGGCACTGGCTGTGCCAACGGGGAGCGGAATGAAGAAGAAGGTTAGTGTGACAACTTCAGACGCCAATGCACACCTTCCCAGTGGGGAGTTCCGCCGCTTCTAGGTCTCGAGTTTCCGAAAGAGATTGTGGTGAATGGCGCCTTCCGAAGCTTACAACCAGATGCCAGCCAAGTCAGTCGGACTTTAGTCACTACAATCATCAACAGGCAACAGTGATGAGTAGTGAGTGCAGGGCATGTTTTCATTTCTGGTCTACTCACTGTTCTGTTTGAGCAGGTGGGCTGGATTTCATACCTTTTTTGCTGGCATTCTGCATGAGATTGACGAGCACTTTAAATCTGTGGGGTGGGGTGCTTGACCTTGGGGAAGTTTCTTGTGTTTGCATGCTGGCATGTTTCAGAGGTGTGCCATGTTTCAAGCTGGCCAGAATGGAAACAAGCCAAGGTCACGCTCTGCAGACAGCATAGATCCGATAGATGAAGAGGCAGCTGCAGCAGAGGAGATATTTGATTTTCCCCGATTTGCAGTGCAGCTATTTCGAGAAGAGGTGCGACAACAGTTCGCATGCAGCCATCCAAGGGTTGTTGATGTTTGTTTGTTCTTTTGTGATGCTCGCTTCCAGCTCCGATTGGCTGCCAGGGATGGGTATCCCCAAATCAAATATGCAGCGCGTCCAGGGCTAGGATCTTGGCGTTGAAGTTGGAGGAGCTCGGATACTTGTGTGAGTTTGCAGAAGGCGATCTGCTAGTCAGCTTGCCTCTCAAACTTCGATGTGAGCTTCCACACGGTGTCTCGAAGAGAACACTTGAACGATCTTGCATGTCGAAAGGATATTGTGTGCTCTTTGATTTCAGTTGTTTGGTATCCTCGCCGGACTATTGATCCCAGGCGGTCATGATGGAGGAGCAGAACCTCCGCCACCCCCGCCGGGCGAAACCAAGGATGATGTGAAGTGAGTTGCGACGAACCAATCCCGAGAGCTTTTCATAGAACCTTGAGAGCTTAAAATGGCCCTGCAGGTTTTGGTTCTTCGGTTTAGGCTGAATGCGTGGCTCTTAGGTGGCAAAGCAACGCCGCGTTCGTGGGGCAGCTTGTGCCACAACGCAGTTACTCAAGAGATGCTCTGGATGTCGCGAAGAACTCCACCGAAAATGGTCTGGTAGGTACACAAGTCACAAGTCTAACTCTGGCGGCACAACTGACGTGTTGTCAAATGGGGTTGCTTTGCTGTGCTATATTGAGCTGCTTGTCCGCAGCTTCTTAGGCCAAACTCAGGTTTGAGATACCTTCATCTTGCCCAGATCATGCCAGTCAATGGTGTCACGCGTGCTCACAGTGGGCGATGGAGACTTGTCATTTTCCTTGGCCTTATCCCGAGCATTTGGAGAAGCACTGCAGACTACTGCAACTACATGGCTCACGTGTGAAGAACTTTGCAGTCGGTACGAGTCTGCCGGAAGCACGAGGGAGGAGCTTCTTTCATCTGGAGTGTGTGTTCTTCACCGGGTGGATGCATGCAACCTCCAGTTGGCGGAACTTGGGTGCGCTGCTTCTCCCTTCGATGTGGTGATTTTCAACTTTCCTCATTTGGGAGACGTCGCAGAAGACTGCCATAGCCCAGCAAGCGAGCACGTGAAACAGCACCAGGCGTTGCTGGCGCACTTCCTTCACTCTGCGAGCTCGGTCACCTCGGAAGTGCACCTGACCCTCTGTGGCGAGCAGGCCAGCCTGTGGGACCTTCATGGTGCTGCTGAACGGCTGGGCTGGAAGGAGTCTCGGAGCCTTTGCCTGAGTCATGCACGGCCTAGCAGTGTAGCACTGTATGGTATCATCGCCTGTAATTGTATTGTATAGTAATTAGTAATGCAATGTCATGTAAGTAGCACCATCCTTTCGTTTTGGTGAGGAGGTAAGTGCCTGCAGCGGTCGGCAGGAGGTTCTTGCGTATGAACCGAGGAGGTATGCTCCAATTGCGGTCGCGGCTTGGATGCACAAAGCGGACGTGGCTAGTCTAGGTTCTTGCTTTTGTAAAAAGGTTTCCTTCTCGCCCAAGTGCGCCCTTCTTGCACACTCAATAGGCTTTTTGGCAAGGGTTTGGACATTTTCATCCGTTGTTCGAATAGTTAGTAGTGTGCCCAGATTAAAGTAAGGATCAAGGTTGTCAGCCAGCTCACCCACAAAGAGAACACCAACAATGTTGTGCGGTATCCTTCGCTGATGTCATTACCCAGGCTCTGTGGAAGGTTGCAGTCACACCCCTCCAAACACACTGAAGCTTAAAAGATATCCGGTGAAGGATAGACAACCCTATTGTCCATGTTCAACTCGGGCTGAATGGGAAGGAGGTGACCGAGGTGGAAAACGAGAGAAAGGCGGGGAAGGTGGTGGGACAGGCAACCGGTTTGCAAGAAACCTGCAATCTCTGTGGTTTGGCCCTTTATATGTCAAGGTGTGTATCTGAAATCTTTGTTGTGGTGTCCACCCCGCTTCTGAGTTCAATCTGACATACAGATTTGCCAACCACACGACGGCTGCAATGCCTTACGTGCCCTCAGTTTCACATGTTTTGGATTTTTGTTCAAAGTTTGCTATGTTTTAGTTCCTGCCCTTTTAGCCGGCCAGTCTCGGTCTCTGACCAAACGCCTCAAAAGGGATAGTGGCCCAAGTTCTTCAACGACTATGGTGCTGAGCCCACCATGTGCCGTTCCTTTCATGCCTCCAACTCATGCTAATTTCCATTGCCCCTTCTGACACCCGAGACAGCCACAGCAAACAACTATGAGGTTAATTTGCACCCTCCAAGGGAACAAACAAGAACGCATATATAATCTGTCAGAACATGTCAGAACATGTCAGAACCATAAGTTCTTCTGAGTGGTTCCCATCCTTGCAATCGTTGAACCGTCCCGACCTCGATTTCCTGTTGTCCCGAGGCATCTTTTCTCCACAGATATGCTTACGGAGAACAGGCTTCCCCTCCTAGCCGCTCCTATCTTGTATCCAGCATTGGCTTCCTTTAGTCCCCACTTTCCCGCATAGGTTCTTCAGTCATTTTTTGTTTCTGGCGTTGTCGTGCTGAACGTGCTTGTTTGCTTTGTTGGCTGCTTATCATGGTTTTGTTCAGCCCCTTGCGGTGTTTCAACCTCTCGCCTCCCATGTGTTCCAAGCACCACCTTTTGTGGCCTATATGATGTGTAGGTGTAGAAAGCAGACTTCGAACACAAGCTGAGGGCCCGTGGACAGGCCTTGTGCACAGGTGCTCTCATTTTTCAGATGCCCAAGTGAAGATCCATCCGTAAAGCGCATTCTGTGAGACCCAGATGACAGATATGGACATGGACCACTAGCGATTTCATGCTTTCACACAAACATGATCTCAGTGTTCCAAACACGCCTTCGAGGAGCCAGCGCATCAGGACGACATAGGGGCACCAATTGGCAGAATATATTAAGTGCGCGACAAAACGACACAACATGGTTCCACTTGATGCTATTGTGTACTCTGATGAGATGACTTGAGGAACCACTGACTCGCACCTGGTCACCTGATTCTTTTGTTATGACGCTGGTTTTTTGGTGCAGATCCAACTGAGGAAGATTTTGCTGTGGGGAGGCTGGCCAGCTTGGTTGCTGTTCCGGCCGAGCCCACTTGGAGATGCAGAAGAAAGTGGCGAAACGGCTCCTTGGGTTTTGTCCATTGGGCATCGCGGTATGGCTATGAACACCGACGCCACGAAAGTGAGCAGCTTATGAACATCGGCAATTGCACAACTTTTGTGTTCCAAACCTCTGATGCTGGTAAAGCACCATGCACCTTGGCTGATGCACATGCTGTGCAGCATCAGTGTAAAATCTGCGGGCAAGAGTGCCAGGATGGTGAGACTTTGGCCCAACACTTGCTTCTGCCCGCATCACCAGCGGCTTCAGCACAAATCCAGGTGTGCCAAAGGTGTTCCAAAGCCTTTTCCTCCCAACGTGCCTTGCAGCAGCACGTTGCCTCATGTGGCTCAATCCAGGCTAAGGCGGCTAAGGAGAAAGACTTGAAACAGGGCAACGGGTATGTTGGAGATGCAGGGATGGGGCTGGTGGTCTCTGTTGATGTTGTGGTGGAGTTGGAAGGTGAGCGACTTCTACATTTTGCACGTCAAATGGACACTTTAAGGAAACATCTTTCCACAAAGTCTTCAGCGAAGCGAGCCATCGAAGGAGGTGAATTGACTCTGAATGGTGAAAGAGTCGAGGAAAGCCGGAAGCTTCATCCTGGCGACGTGGTGCGGTTGCGTTTGAACAAGGCGCGTGAAATTCAGGAGTCCACAGTAGCTCGGGCACGGGCTGTCAAACTGGTCACCCTGAATTACGGAGGTCGAAAACTCACCGCTGATTCCGCTTTAGACGCTGGCTCTGCTGTAGCATGGCAAGTCATTCGTTCCGTTTGCCCAGATGGTGTGGCAATTGTTTGGAAGCCGAGTGGGATGAGGAGTCTCGGAAGCCATGCGGGTACCTTGCAAACATCTTTGCCTTGGCTTCCTGAGCTGCAAGACAGTTTCAATCCTTTTCACGTTTCCCCGACCCCCTTGAGCCGACTTGAAATTGGATGCAGCGGCTTGTCCCTAGTGGCCTTGAACGAGCCTGTGCGAAGCGAGCTGTATCAATACCTGCTGGCTGGCTGCGTCACTCATGTGTTCAAAGCTTTGGTGCACGGCCGTGCCGGCTCTGAGGGAGAGACCCGGATGTTGAACTGGAGAGGAGCTACTTGGAAAACGCCACATGCGGAAGAAGAATTTGAGAAAGAGAGTTTCCCAGAGCAAGAAGGTGACAGTGAAGTGTCTGAGGGCACAAGAGGGAAAGAAGACGCAAGGGTTTTTGAATGTGTTGCTTCAGAACCACCAAGCCAAGTGTGTCTTCACGTCGTCTTGGGCTCACTTGCCACCCGAAGTCATTTGTTGAATGTGTCCTGAAGCATTCGAGGTCGAGGTGAGGCTTTTGGGCGGTTGAGTTTGGCGATATTTTTCATTCAGGTCAGTGTGCAGAGCGTTGGAGCCTCTGAAGCTGTGATGAGCACAATTGAACTCAGCACCGCTTCCGCTTGTGGCAGGTGCGAGTATGTAGCATTCCTACAGCAGCGTAGCAACAGTTGTCCAATCGCAAGCTATCAGGTGTTGCGGGTCGTTATGCTACCTCATGCGCATGCCACTTGGCGAAGTGCGGGCTGAAGCTTTTGATGATTCCGACTTTAATGATGAGGCATGGGACTCCGGTGGTTGGAGATATGCTGGCACGATCCGCTCGAACTGGAAGCTTGGACGGTTGAACTTGTTCCGGAAGTGCAGCCCTTTGCTTTGATTAGATATGATTATATATATATAATCCTTTTGGATCCTTTTGGAGCCTCTTCTCATTGCAGGAGGACAATCGCAGCGGCGCAACATTCTCGGAGGCAGAGAGGGGAACGAGGTTGGGTCTGCTTCACACTAGCCTGCCATCAGGTGGAAAGAGGAAACTGCAGATCGAGTGTGTTGGCATTATGGCCCGTACAAGAGAGCCTTAGCTTGCAGCTGACTTGTGATGTTCGATTTAGATTTTGTGTTGGTGTCTATTGTGTGTCCAGTCCACCAATGAGAATTCACATCTTTTGAATCCCAAGCCATGGACATGCAGACTGCATGGGGCTTCTGTTTGGTAGAGCACATCCTTGAAGAGTTGAAGTTTGCTAGAACTACATTTTTTCATTGTTTGCCAAATATAGTTGTTTTTTCATTGTTCAGCCACGGAGTTTTGGGCAGGCATGCGGATATGATGCATAGAAGGATGTGAAAAAGAAGCTAGACATAAAGAGGTGTTTGCACACAGACGATTTCCACAGGGCTTGGACGTTGGTTTGCAAAAGTTTCTTGGTTGAACCGGCATTTAGCGTAGAGGAGAGTAGGAGAGTAGAGAGACATGCGTTGAAGATCGAGCACTCAGATGCCGGGGTGGTGGAGGCTTTTGTCCATCAATGGTAGTGACATATATATATAACCATCCTGAAGTACATAGAATTTTGGTACAACTCAATCCCGCGGCACTAAAAAAAAGTAATAATACATGGAATATCGGGGTCCCAAAAGCATCTTCAGGATGGTTATATCAAAACACCCGCGTGCCTCGAATCGAAACACCCGCGCGCGCGTGCGAGCTCGCATCCTATGTCCCTTTTCCTTCTCCCATCTTCTCCCCTATGTCCCCTATCTTCCACAGACCATTCCACGATATTCCAAGTACTCGTTTGATCCGCTCGGAGATATTCTATGTACTTTTTTTGGGGGTCAAAACGAGGTACTTAGAATATGAAATTGAAATGACGGAAGGTACGTTGGCGGCTCAATTCCGTATTCTATCTACTCGAGGATGATTATATATATATATATATGTATTTTTGTTTACACGCGCGTACACATACATACGTATTGACATGCAAGCAAGTGGACGTGTGGATGAATGCTCGGGGTGTTGTGGGGTCGCAAGAAGCGCAGATGCTTAAACCCTGAGTGCGAGAGAGAGAGAGAGAGAGAGGGTATAATCATCCTGGAGTAGATTGAATGGATTAAATTTTAACATTGAATTCGCTCTTCCAAACCAGCTTTCCCAAACTTTCCCAACCCCCATTTTTGTGGTGTTTATATAGGTCCCCAAAACGGGGATGATCGACTTTGGCTCAAGACGACAAACAGTGCCCATGCGGAACCGCGTCCTTGCAACGCGGTAATCAGCCGTAGCTGAGCTTTCCGATCTCTCACAAAAGTAACTTCTTTGAAAAGGACTTATGGTTTGTGACCCCCCTTTCCTTTCGGTTTTATGAAAAAGGGCCCGGCAACTTGAACACAGGAAAGAAAAAGACAGAACAGAAACAAAAGAGACGGAGTTCTATTAAAAAGAGTGAAAGAAGATGACCGAAAAGAAAGGGAACTACAGGAAAAGGATGAAAGAAAAAGAAAAGGAAAGGAAAAACACATTAAACAACGAAAAGGAATGAAGAGAAAGGATAACCATTGTATGGTACCGAATCTAGAAACAACATCCTGGAGTAACTGTACTTGAACACGGGCCCGCTCCAAGAAGACGGCCTTAGACCCCCCAAACAGATCGATCACCGGTGACGGCTACACCCAACACACCGCGGAAATCTAGACTGACTCAAACTTCTTGTTGGCAGTTCCGGTGGTTCAGGTGATCAACCCAACCCGTTGGTGGTCGCGAAGGGTGAGGAACAAAAGAAGGGCCTGGGTGACTCCAAGGGCTTTGATTGCTCAGGAACGAAGCTAGGAATGTCTAACGTTCTTGCCTAGGAACGAAGAACCGAGTGATTCAATTGGCCTTGAATGTGTTGGAACCAGCTTATGCAAGCCATCAGGGTCAGAACTGGACAGCTCTTTGGGACAAACTCTTGCTCCTAGTTAGTAGCGATATCCTTTGTTCCTAGTAGCTTTTTGTTCCTAGTAGTAAGGCCAGGAGCTACTAGTAGCTTCTTGCTCTTAGTAGCGATGCCCTTGTTACTAGTAGCTTCTTGCTCCTCTCTCGTATTTTCAACTCTTTCGTTTTGGCAACCTTCTTACCTGCTCGTCCACTGCGACTCCGGTGCATTCACTGCTAAGTCACAGGTTCAACTCAAGGTGTTCAGCTGCCGTGGTGAAAGAGAAAGGGAGTGAAACTAGTTGCTGCCTACTCCAGGAAAAATGCAAAAAATATCAACATATATGACTGTAAATGGTACATGTCTTGACTTGGCCTCTATTTCACGGCCAGTTTTTGCACGAACCTTTAGCCTCCTGAGGAACGGGGCTGCTTTCTTGACGTGTGCATCTCTCGCACGGGGTAGACGCTGGAAGCTCCCTTCACGGCGCAATCTGAGATGGACGACGTGGAGAACAAGAGCTGAGATGGACGTGAGAACCATTGCTGTGTTTCCCATTCAGTCAAAGCAAGTGGGAAACACAGCAATGTTGACAGGTAAGCAACTGAAGGCCCACAAGGACAGACACCGCTCAGAGATCCACTAGGCCCTTGCCCTTGCTTGCAAAATAGCCATTAGTATGTTCTTGAACATTTTGGTGCTGCAAACCAAGTGCACCTGCCACAATCACTGCATGCAGTCATTGGGCTTGAGTATATGCTGAGATTGTTGAATCACACCGGGTGCAAGAATGCCACGCTTACTAGTAGCATGCACCGTAGCTCAAATGCCAAATTGATGTGGCTGGATCTTAGCTTCAAGCAGAAGGAGGGCGGAAGGGCCAGCAAAGCCACCCAAGTCGTCAGCCAACTCATACAAAACCATGCACCAATAAAACAGGTCCTGGGTTGCAACGATTTCAGCGCCTTCAGCGCGTGCCATGCATCAAGCTGCCGACGTGGCTGGATCTTCCCGACCACAGGCCTTTTCATGTCACCTTTGACTTGTGAATTCATAATGGTAACTCCATGTAACTCCCATCAAGTTGCCTTCTTTGTTGGACCAGGAACGCGGAAATATGTTGTTTCCTTTGCCAGGCCTGCGCAAGCACAAGCAGATCAGGCTGGGAGTTCCATAATGCATGACGAAGTCAACGAAGAGTTTCGAGATGGCTTTCTTCCTAAGGACCTGCAATACCCAGTGGAACGATCGGGTCACAGCCACAGGCCGATTGCGAAGCAAATGCCGACATTTTGAGCCATGAGAAGCGCTGTCACCGCAGGAGACTTTGGCTTCCGCTACTTGGACTGATTGCGGACATGGACTGATTCCTGCACTTGTTGGGGTGCTTGCTCTGAGGACGCCACGCGAAGTGCAGGATCACCTACTGTACCTCCTTCTCCGGTGGGATCTGCGACTTCTGGTGGCGCATCTTGCCTATGTTTAGCCGTGTGATGTGTGCAACTGTTGAAGGACATTCTTATGGAGGAAACAGAAGGGACCATGTTCGAGCAAATCAACATTTTTTCAAACAGTTGTCACTGACATGCGCACGTCAAACAAGGCTACTGCGGCTGCTGTGCCTCTCAGTGGCACTTGTATTACAATATAACTGATGCAAAAATTCATGTGAATGATGCAGTCCATTCTTGTCATCCAATTTATGCAAGCACACGGTGTGCACTGCTCAGGGTGCAAGTGCGGAATGTGCCAGGCCTTCCCCCAGAAGTGGCAGCTTTGCGTCAACTCTGACTGACATCACAAGATGGCAAGATATACACACACACAGATATATATATATATATATTCACGTACCTAAAAGGCAATGGCTGCTTGATTTCGGAGTGTTGAAATGCCCGTACCATGCAGGTCAGTCTGGGCCTCCCTCTGAGTCTTCCGCTCATCGCCAGATTCAGCCCCTTGACCCAAACCTCAGGAGTTGGAGCCTTTTCAAGGCTGAAGCGTCCTGCAACCAAGGCTTGGTGGTGCAGAGGAGGATGCAGTCGAGGGTTGGGCAGCGGAGTCCCCAGAGGGGTTTGCACAGGTGGCATGGCAACAGAGAAAGAGAGAGAGAGAGAGAGAGCCCCATAGTGATGGCCTCCAAATTAGAATCAATGGCCTCCAACCTCCTAGCGAATCTAAGAGAGATAGATAGATAGAGAGAGAATGTGTGTGTGTGTGAGATAATGCATGCTTGCAACGTTTCGAGGATTCGGACGCTGAGAGCTTCTACTATCGGCAGAGCGTCCAGGTGAAGGGATGACTAGTCGAAGACTTTGTGACCACGTTTTCGTCCGAGGATGTCTTCGCCTTCTTGGATCAGAAGGAGTTAGAGATGAACCTCATGTTCGCAAAGATGCGGAGAGAGCCTCTTGCTTGAAAACACGCTCAGCAGGGTGCTGGACAGAACGTTTCGAACGTGAATGCTGCTGGTGGACAAGCATTCAGTACTGGTAGCCGTTTTTCCTGTTTCCCACGGGTGTGAAAGGCTATCGCAAGCAATCCCTGCATCACCTACTAGTCAGATTGCTGGGAAGCAGGCTGGGTTTCTTCTGTCGGTCACGATTGCAAGTGTCCGTGTGATCTTGGGAAGGCGGTCACCTCGAGATCGGACCAGGCTAGTAGAAATGGACAGTGCGAGATTCGATTCCCTTTTGGACCTGGCCAACCTGGCCTCAGGTGACGACTGGTTGGAGGGACCTGGGTGGACCATTTTATCGAGCCCTTGCACTGCTCTTTAGTTGCATCCAGCCTTTGCTTTTGACAAGGGTTGGGACGTGTGGGAGGAGGCAGTTTCATTGGGAATATATTTAGATCATATCCAAAGATGCTCCCTTTGTTGCTTTGAAGGCTCAAGATGAGTCGCGCACTTACCCACAAACACACAACAAGTTCAGCAGCATGAGCGCGGAGAATTCCAAAAACTTGCTATCGCTGGGTGGAACTTAGACCCACTCCCCTCATTCTTTAGACATCAGAGCCATGTCAAGTGGTCCCGCTGCTGGTGGTGCTGGAGTTGCTGTTTGCGAAGTCCGCCATATCCGAGTTCAACGAAACAATGCGCTACAAGATTGGAAGGATGTTGAGCAGGTAAGAGTAGAGAGAGTTGAAGGTGACAAAGGCGACCACGTGCTGAAGATAGGAAGCAAAATGACTCTCCAGTGGAATCAGGTGGCAATGGCCTCCATTACTTTGAACAGAAGCGGGCAGATTTTGGACCTGGTTCTTGCTTCGAGTGACCACTCTCACTTTGATTTCATTGAGCTCTCCCTTCCTATGGCTCCTGCAACTGCAGTGCTTCTTCAGGAGATCCATGAAGCAGTGGAGGTCACAAGTATTTCGAGAGGTCTCTTAGTGTGGCCATTGAGAACGCTTCATTCGAGTCTGTCATTTCGACAAGTCTATTGGTGGTACCAAGTGCTTTCGAACACCTTCGAGATTATGTTCGCGTTAACCTTCTTTCTGACGCTGCAGAGGAGATTCACTTCCTCTGCTGAGGGAGTCTTGTCCTCGTTGACAAAGCTTCGAGATGACATTTCAGGAATCTTGATGGGTGAGCTGCTGGAATCTGACTGGCCCACCCTCGCAGTCATCCATCATGCACTTGAACAAGTCTTTGGCAGCTTCTTCCTCATCCCCCTGTATATGCCGCTTCAAGTGCTTTTTATTTTGCTGGATTTTCACTCGGACATGCTTATTTTGACAATGCTGTTGCCTCATGTCTTTCTCCTGTGGCACTCGGTAACGAGCTTGGTGTACGCTGCTCGGAAGACCTTTGGCCTTGTGCTGAAGATAGGGAAGATTAGCCATGCCACTGTGTCCAGAGCAAGGACTGTAGGCGAAACCAAGAAGAATTCCTAGCCTAAGAGCCGATGGATCTTCGCTGCTCTAGCGAAAAAGAAGGTCCATGCACAGATTCGTCTGGCAGCATCATGATGGCCGGCCCACATTATCAATCATTATCTCATTGTCCGTTGTGGTCTTCCACGAATGTGACGGATTGTTTGTGATTCGTCGACGTCGATACCCCAAGGCAGCGGGAGCGTGAGAAGGTGAATCAGCACCTTCGCGAAGCGGTGCGATAGCCTGCCAGAACTGCTACCAGAACTATGATGGACAAAATATTCGACCCCAAACCAACTTGACCCCTTCAGAGGTAAACGACAGAACTTTGGGGGTAATTAGGAGGGTTGTGACAGCCTATGACTCAGGGGTTTGAATGTGTTGTCCATCTGCTGCATTGGACATTCTGTACTTGATTTCCTTGTTCCCGTGCCTGTTTTCAAAGAACCTCTTAACTGTATTTGTCAGGTCGCTCTGAAGAAAGCGGAATTGGAATCATTGAAAGAGGAGCTGTACCAGCTTGGCCTTCCTCGAGTTGGCACTTGAGCTGGCATTGATTGGGTGGCACGTGGCCATGAGAAGTGGGTTGCAGTACAGCTTTGACCAATTGGTTTGCCTTTGGGGCCAGTAGACGGCAGTCGCTTTGTTTGTGTCGGCTTCCACCTGCTTAATATAGTTGGACATGTCAAAATTATGCAGCCAGTTGCAAGTTTCTGCCGCTGATGCTATCCTTCCCTTGGCTACTTTGAAGTTCAGCCTACAACCTTTTTGAATCACATTGAACCTCACAAACAAGGGTTGTGTGGGTGGCACATATCTGTGTATGTCACTTTCACAAAGTGGGAATGAACGCCCTGGCAGTGTATGTTGGTGGATGTTCTTTCTCTCGGTCCTGTTGTTAGACTGTTGGCTCTTGGAACCAGTTTCGAGTTAGATATGCTCTGGATGGGGCTTGAAGCTCCATTGGGCCCATTAGGCAGGTGGGCATACATGACACTGACTTTTGTTGCTTCTGCTCCATTATTTGTTCCAAGGCTCCCAACGGGGCAACTCCAATTTGGCTGCGCATGCTACCCAGAGACCACACAGTCGAAGCCAAAGAAGACCTCTTGACACCTAAGGTTCAGTTTTTCTGACTGGGAAAGCTCGCCGCTTGCAGGCTTCACTGCTTCACTCTAAGTTCACTCCAACGTTGCTGGCGATTGAACTTTGAGAAATTCACGCCAGGCGTCCTGCCAGCTGCAAGCAGCACAATCCCACCCAGCAGCACTGGACCAGCCAGCGCGACTACAGCCATTGCAAGCGGCTATCCCCAACCGAGTGCTGCGCAAGTCCAAAGTGACTCCAGTGGAAGGCGGGGTGTTCAAGTTGTTGCAGAGACAGCGTAGAGAGGGAGGGGGGGAGAGTGAGGGAGGCAATACGGGAGAGACAGGGAGAGGAAGAGGAAGAGAGTGAGTGAATGACTGAGGGAGGTAGTAAGGGCGTGAGAGAGCGAGTGCAGGGCAGAGAGAAAGGATGGAGGGAAAGGAGGAAGCACAGGAAAGGGTACGGGAAAGGAAGGGCATGAAGAAAGTAGCGGAAAGGAAAAGGAAAATGCAAGCTGTAGGAAGGGAAAGGGATGAGGGAAGGAGGCAGGTGGGAAAGGAGGAAGGCAAGAAAGACACGAAAAAAATCGTTTGGGCGGTAGGGTGTTTGGCCAGGCGAACAAAGCTTCAGGTCTCTTGGTCCGAAAGTTAAGCGGGACGGCGAGGATGGACGCTGCCTCTCAACACGGTCCAAATCCAGTCCTTTTTTCCTTTTAGAACTTTTTTCCAATCTTTTTTCTTTAGAATCTTTAGACATGCTTCAATTGAAACCGTGCGTCCTGGCTATGAGGCAAACACTCCACAGCTGCCCTTGCCAAACACTCCACATTTTCCAGCTGCAACCAGCCATGCGCTCAGTCCTTCGCTGACGTGTTGCCGATGGTCCGGCTCAATGGACGCCGCAGGTCCACGGACTTCACCGTCACCCTTGGACCTTGAGAGTGAAGGACCTGCGTTTGGATCTGGATGTTTTCACAGGATTCCTGCTGCAGGAGATGCGCAAGAACTGAGAATCTTTTCTCAACCAGGTAGAGGCCTTAAGAAAGCAGATGGGAAGGGTTGCAACATGCTGCTTTGGCGTACTGCCGACGGGCAGAACAAGGCGCCCTTGGAAGCCCCCCTAGATCGCCTAGATGATGCGCTGATTCTTGGCACATTTAGGCACAATCCAGGGGGGAATCCTTTAGTTGTTTGCAGAGGCTGTTGAAACATGTTGAAACTCATTAGCCTTTTGTTTCACTATTTTGTTTGACCGTACCGCGGTGTGCACTTAGGAAGCACAATGTCAGCTCATTGTCCATCAAGGCGGAGTCCACGGGAACTGTGGTTCATCTGATCATCTGTCATGCTGTTTGATATTGTTTCCCCATTGAGATGGATCAAAGCCAGGTTGACGCGCCCACACCGCAAAAGCCTCCTTTACAGCGAAGCGACTCAGCGACATCTTCTGCACCTCGGCTCAGCTGAGAAGTCCATGATCTTTAGAAGAGAAGCTGATGATCATCGATTCATCCTGTCAGGTTTCACTGTCGCAGATGAACAAGAATGCCGAGGGACAAGGCTCCTGCGCTGTGACAAAGCTAGAAGGAAAAGCCTGCGTCTTTCGGCACATTCTTGGGCCAAGTGACGATTTGGAGGAATCATGAATCATGTGTGCTTCTCCAAGGGTCATTGGTCAGTCTAGCCACACCCCGAATTCAAGACACTTGGACAAATGCGGGCTAGTGTACGAGAATGTCGCAAGAGAAGCATGTTAGGCGACACATGAACAAACTTACAGAACTGGCAAAGAAAACATTGCGAGACCTGAAAACCCCAGCCGCCGACAGGCAGCACTCAGAGGCGGTAGCTCAGTGGGTCTTCTGCGCTGAGACGTGATTTTCCCCAGCAGAGCAGCCCAGGAAGCGCTTTCCCCAGCTTCCTTCCACAGCCTGCAAAGAACGGGCTTAAAAGCAGCCAGTGGCATTGAATCATTCACACGAATCAGGTCGGAATATTGTTCTTCCGCACGCCCAATCTCTCTTCATCCACCTTGAGCTGCTTTTGACACCGACCGCTCGAAATAGAGTGGCCACAATTGCTCTGCCAAGGAACCCTCCCCTTTGTGCGTTGAATCAGTCTTACATTTGGGGGCAACCGGCGGCTTGTGCTAAGCCTTCAAAAAGTCCAGTGAAAGCATCATTGAAAGGGGGCATTGCGTGCAAGCTTTGCGGAAGCCTTGCCAAATGATATGCAATCACCAACGTATGTTGCCAGGAATCGATTGACATACTGTAGTTGGAGCTTCCGAGGCTGATCTGGGCGGGAAAAAGGCTGTGCGCACTTGGACACAGTGAGGCTTTACGAGTGGGGATGTCGCACCAATGCACAATCCTGCACAGGTTGCGAGACGGGAGTAGAGCTGAGTTGGCAGGCGTTCCACTTTTGTCACTGCACCAGGAAAAGGGTTGTGACAGAAAGTGTGATGGTTTGGGCGCACATTTGCAGACAGCGAGGGAAGCTAAGTAGTGCAGAAACCATGCGAGTTGAATTCGCTGAGGTTGATTTGTGAGTACACTAGTGGCAAATGGTTCCTAATGAAGCATGGACACCATGTCAGAAGCCTTTTTGCTCATGTATATATAAACTTGTTTCAATTTATTGGACTGCTGCATTTTCCTCACTCTTCTCAAGCATGCAAAGAACACCTTTTGATGGACAAAGTTTCCATGAATGGATCAGCTGCCAGAGCCGCAACATGTCAAGGCAAGGAATTCTAGGTGGAGGCCATCGCTTTTAGGTTGGAGGCCATCGCCACTAGGTTGGAGGCCATCGCTACTAGGGTGGAGGCGATCGCTACTAGTAACAGTAAAGCTTTCTAGTAACTGTTTGGCGCAGAATCTGCCGAGTTTGCAGAGTTGCGATGGCCAGGTTCAAGCCTACAGCATGAGTGGCGATCCGATCAGTCCAGTGTGGGGCCCTACCGCCGGTTTTGTGCACGACCAGAGCCCCCCCCAAAGGGTTGGCCTACAAGTGATTCTACCAGGTTTTGGCCGTAGCTCACTTGAGTTTTGCTGCATCGGCATCGGCAAGTTTCTGTCAGTTCAAGACTGATTAAATTGTTTGGGTTTGGACACGTGACAGCAAGAGTCCCAAACTACACCACTTAAGGACTTAGGGGACGTTCCCTCATCCCCAGCCTAGCCTTGATGCAAAATAGTTGCACCTGGAACCGGAACAAGTGTTGATCACAGTGGCCGGTCCGTTGCCTGCCATGAAACTGAGACTGTTGCTGCTTCTCTATCTATGTCGATGTCAAGCTGATGAAGACTTCTCAGTACACTCGATGCTCCAGGCTGCTTCAGGACAAGACCTGCCTGCAGCCTGTGTGAATGAATCAGCAGCTCTTCAATGGTATGATGGGTTCACGGCAGCTGTCGATACCATGATGCATCGCACAAAGCGAACAATGCAATTGGGGCTCACATCCATGGCAAATGGGGTGCTCATGCTCACTGAAAGCCCTTGTGGAGACTTTGCCGCTTTGCGAGGGCAGGCGGAAAGGTTGAAAGTTCTTGCCAGCACGCGCAGCTTGGCTGGCCTGGATGCAACTGTGCGGTACGAACCCTTAAAATCCCTTTCCGTGGGTGGCATTGATGTGCATGGTGAATTGAACGCCATGCTGGTTGCTTGGCGAATGAGCCACGGGCCAGAAGCGGTGGGCAAGACGTTGGCCAGGTTTTTCGGTCTTTTCTCAGAAGACACTGATGATGGGAGCAGCGATGTGCCTGAAGCAGAACTGCAGACGACCGCACACAGCCCAGGTGCATTGCAACGAACTCCCTCATTTTGGTCTTCTCTTCTTAATTCTGCGTTTGGAAGGCTGAGCGACAAGAGCCAACCTGTCTCACCAGCATGCCTCACTGATGGCATAGCGCAGTTGAATGCGGATAAGTTTGATGAGGCCTTTGGCCGCATGATGCAGAAAACCCAACGAAGTATGCAGCATGGATTGAAGATTCTCGCTTTAGCTGTGGACTCCTTGCTCTCAAGCCTTGAAGAGCATGTGAGTTGTCAGCAACCACTACGAGCTGCGGCTGGGGCTGGGCGTCTGCGGGCTGCTGCAAACCGCCTTGAAACACTAGTTGGTACAAGATCACTAGTGAATCCTGGCACCAATGTCAAATATGAAGCAATGCAGCTCCTGAAAATTGGTGAGGTCGATGTTCACCGGGAGCTGAACAAGTTGATTACCTCGTGGATTCAAGATAGAAGTCCTGACGATGTCGGCATTGGTCTTGCAGAATTCCTTGAAGACTTTCGAGAGGAAGAGGAGGAAGACAGTCAGGACGCAGAAACAAGAGGAACAGTGCAGGAGCTTTCTGAGGCACTTGCTGATGCGGTGTCTGGAGCAGGAGGCTGTGCCACAGGCAGCGCTGCAAACTGCTTTGAAGATGCCGCCCTACAGTCCTTCGCGCAGGAGGTGGATGGGGCGATAGAGCACATGCTGAAGAAAAGACGGAAAACCATGCAACAGGGACTCAAAGAATTGTCCGATGCGGTTGACAAGGTTTTCGCAGGTTCTTTGCCGTTTTGCCAGCAGTGCGCTGGCTTGCTTGTCATTAGGAAAGGTGCACGCAAGGTAAAGCATTTGACTCGAAAAATGGTGGTTGACTATGGCACATATATCAAGTACGAGGCCTTGAAATCACTGGAAGTTGGTGGAGTGCCAGTACATGCCGAGCTGAACTCGTTCCTGGCAGCCTGGAAGTTAAGAGGTCTCAAAGAAGCTGGCATTCCGCTAGGCGTTCTCTTCCAGCGTTTCTCGCAAATCTCGGGACATGATGAGTTTTGAGCAAAAGAATTATGTGCTACTGGCTGCTGGCTTTTTCTTAGCGTGACGGAGAGTGGGTAGTTTGCACTTTTTTGAGAGAGATGAACAGTCACCAAACGTGGCGCTGAGCTATTGTAGTTGTGTTTGAATTTGCGAGAGGGAGCTCCTGCAACAATTTCGGAGTATCACATACAGCCACGGACACGGGTGTTTGTGAGTCTCCTTGATGACCTTTACATATCAATATGATGCTGTTTTTTCATGTCATGTTATTTGCCGTGCCGAGACTGGCGTGCAGCACTTTATGTCTGCTTCTTTTGGGAACACGCGACTGTGACAGGTCTAGTCACTAGTTCTGGTAGGTGCTTCTCAACAGAATTGAATGCAAGGGGGTACGACCGAAGACTGCAGACTCCTCCAGAAAAGCTTTGCTCATTGGAAGGGCAGGGTAAGTAAGCACCCGAGGCTTGCTTCCCAAGACACCAACAGAACAAGGCACCCTTCAGGGACACGGGTTCCAAGCACAAACAAAGAAGATCTTTGGCCGCAGTATATAGTCCACCTCACCTTTTAGCCAGCACAACTTCTGGGTGGACATAGTCTAGCTGCCTAGCACCTGGATTCGAAAAGAAGAGAGGATACGCAAAGAGTACCGCGAGGTTTTCGGCGGTTTGTTTTCAATGTCATGACTGATGATTCGATCGGTGCAAACTATATGTTTCTTGAACTCTAAGGTCGTGCTGGTGCCAGCTGCATCCAAAGCACGGCATGTGAAGCAGGCTCTCAGCGAGGCACCGCAGTCATGTAGTGCTTTCACAGAAATCCTGTGAATGCAGCGCAGTATGGGATTGTAGAAAGTTGTAGATAAGTCACTCATCATAAGTCATTCATCATCCCGAGCTGATTCGCCCTGTGTTGAGACCTGTGTGCGTGGTTTCTAGGCTATGGGCGTCTCCGTGAAAGAGCTTGAATCTCAATCTGCAAAAAAAGACGGCCATGCACAATGCAGACGAAACATAAAGGGAAGCATTGCAAGGACTGCAGCACTTTTAAGAGTGACACATTGCGAAGAGTGTTTGTCATCAGTTTGTGGCTGCTTGGCCCATCTTTTTGAGTCTTTGAGGTTGAACTTGGTCTTGGACAAGCTTCAGCTTTCTGATTCTGAGCCCGTGCCGGTCGGAAATGGGACGCAACCTGGCAGGAATAGCGGTGAATAGCCGGTGACAGCTTATGCCTGAAAAGGGGAGCAAGGGGCGGCACAAAAGAATGAACAATTCCATTTGAGGCTGTGCCTTACAGCAATCAGAAAGTTCGGACCTCAATGCCCAATGCTGGTGTTGGTTTTTGGTTTAGCCTACAGCCTCCCCGCAACAAACATGGGACGGTGAATCCTTTGCTCTCCCGTCTTGTTCATCCTAGGTCCCGTTTGTCGGACTTTCTGCAGCAAAAGCGACTTCCGTCTTTGGAGGCGCCATCGACCGTCGAGCGGTCGAGCTCTGAAGGGCTCAACACCGAGGCCCGTGCAGCGGATGGCTCAACGGCATTGCATCTTGCAGCGCGGCAGGTGCGGTGAGCTGGACCGGAGGACCAACTCCAGCCCCCAACAGAAAGGCGTTGAACACAAACACACACAGACCTCTAGAACACGGTTGGCTGCCAAATTGAAACGAGTCAAAGGCTAGAGAAGGCGGGTGCTCAGAAGACAAAACATGAAGTCTGTCAGAGCAGTATCTCTTGGCTCACGACGACCTCACCTTGTTTGGTCACAAACCTATGCAGCTATGCAAATCTGGAAAACTCATTTGTACGGGCAATCCAGACTGCCCTGGCAGGGTGAGTTGGGTTTGGCGAGCGAAATCCTGAATAGAGATGGCCAACTTGCAAACGTGCTGGACCGGGTGGCCTAGACAACAGATTGAGATGATTGAGTAAGTTTGGAGGCTGTGGTTTCTCGAAGGAAGGGTTCTTGCTTCATTTGGATTCAATTGGGACATATTTGAATGCCGCCAGTAGATTTGATTGAGGCTCAAGAGAGAATGCTTTTGTCCTGATGGACGCGTCAACGGGATGGGTTGCAATCATTCTGGCAACTCTTTGCTATGGGTCCTTGTTTGTGCCAGTAAAAAACTACGATATACATGATGGCTTAGTGTACCAGTGGTTTCAATGCTGTGGCATTCTTCTGTCTGGATTGATGCAAGCCTCCTTCCGAAATGATTGGAATGCACCTGGCATGAGCTCTCCAGGCTTCTATGTTTGCAAAGAGGGTCTCCTCTCAGGAGTTTTCTTCCAGCTTGCAAATGTATTGGCGACGCAATCAGTGAAAGCCTTCGGCATGAGCAACTACTTTACCACCCAGAAGGTGACTAACCTTGGTGGGGCATTTGTGGTGGGTGTCTTTGGTGATCGGGTTGGCCTTCCAGTCAAGCGTCCTGGTGACCCACTTCTGGCACTCATGGGATGCTTGAGTGTTGTACTCGCAATGGTGCCTCTTGCTTTTACAAAGGTGGAGGTTGAGGAGCTGGATGCGACAGACTACCTCCAAGTCAAGCAAAATCCAGGCCCGTCAACCAGTGACAAACGGCCACACATGATCCCACCTCAACATTGTGATATGGGTGGCTATTTCATGCTTGATGACAGATCATCTGAACCAACCAGTCCTGCACCTACGCCCGTTTTCCCACGCAGAAGGCAAGACAGGTCAGGGAAGTTAGGAGACTGGTGTAAGGGCTTGGCTTGGTCCCTCTCCGCCGGTTTGGCATTTTCGTTTATTTACATACCCATGCTACCGTGGAAGCACCGCATGGCAGAGCAGCATGCAACTTTCTCGTCCTTTGACTACTTCCTCTCTGTCAGTGTTGGCCTGTTCATGGCCTCAACGGCATACATGCTGTTGGGGGGTGCAATGAGAAAGTACCAGGGAAAGAAGTTGATGAAATCGGTTCTGCGGCCAGCCTTGCTGAACGGCATGATGTGGTCCGTGGCCAGCATGTCCCAGCTGTATGCGTTGGCAGTGATGCCTTATGCTGTGGCATATTGCCTGGTGTGTGGTGGAGAGGTCGGAGTGAGCTTGCTTTGGGGCATTTTTGTCTTCAACGAAGCCTCTACCCCGCATAACCTCCGCTGCACCATGCTTGCTTTTCTGGGTGTGCTTCTCGGTGTGACCCTGGTGGCAGCTTCAAAATGAGGCACCGCAAAAGCATGTTAGTGCCTCAAGTCAATGCGAAATCATAATTGGTTCCACACACACAGACGTGCCCAATGCTGGCATGTGAAGGCGGGCGACATGGCTTTGACTTATGCATAGCGAAAAGCTGCTGCTCCTCCTGCTGCCAAAAGTGCTAAAGTATTGTTGAATGCATGCTTGTGAAGCACAGTCGTAGTGAATGCAGCTTGATCAGATCAATGTGACGTCTTTGGGAGGACTTTCTTGGAAATACAGTCCTGCACCAGGCCGCCAGCTCCTAAGCAAGAGGATCTCACAAAGTATTCTTGTTGTTCTGTGTGCCAACCTGCATTCAAGATTGCCGTCCGTGTCCTGGCTCCAAGCGTGCTCGCGAGAGCTTGAAGGGCCCTTGCTGTGAAAGAGACAAATGAGGCGATACAGCGTGTCTCTGCCCAGACCAGATGTTTTCTTTTTTGGTTGGAAGGTGTTTGGAAAAGGTGATCCCAAAATTGACTCGTTCTTGCCCGTTAGTTATACTGTAAGTTATTGACGTTTTACTTCCTCTGAACGTGAGTCAATGCTCTAGTCCCCCGCTCCGCTATCCTGCTCGGCCAAGGTTGCCAGCGCGCGTGCAAAGACACAGCTGAAGCGTGCGCTCTCAGCAAAGTGCAAAGATGTAAGGCTTCGCCGCTTGAAGCAGGCGCTGACACAAAGGGTTCAGAAGTATGTCATTTTGCAATCTCGGGGTCAGGGTGCCAATTGGATTCGGGATTGGCCAACCAATATGTGTGCCGTAGGTCCTAGGTGACGGCAGTGACAGTGCCAAGAAGCCTGTATAGGGTTGCCATTTTTTCCTGGCTTTCACGATCCCACTTCGTCCACGTATCAGTGTCTTGTTCTTGATCTGACTTGAGGTGCTCGATTTGAAGATCCTTGACCGTGCAGAGGAACAGTCCAGACTCCTGTTGAACTTGGCATTCGCTGAGCTGCACGCATTGGGTGGCCAGAAAGGAGACCAAAGCCAACCTACGCAAGAAACGGAGCCTTCAGAGCCTTCTCCTGCACCTACACCCCCCACGGACACCCAGAAAAAACCTCAGCCGCTGCAGGGGTTAGTCATAGATGCAGAGAGTCGTGGCCAAGCTCCACAAGTTGAGGGTGGATATGGCTGGATTCGAAAGGCAAATGCAGGGACTGACCGTGAGGCGAGACGAAAAATCAGTGCAGCCACCAGGGAAGTCGTGAAACAGCAAGGTTACACGCTGGGAAACAAGGTGGTTCAGCTGAATCATGTTGAGGAGATGATCAAAGGAACGAAACTTCTCTCTCCCAGTGTGGGGGCTTGGCCCAGTTCCCCAACTACAGGCCAGTTGAAGACCAAATTGGAAGTTCAGAACGGAACCGTTCTGGATGTAGCGGTACGGGCAGCTCAAGCAGGAGAACATGTGATTGCTGTTAATGCCGCGTCTGCTTACCATGCTGGAGGAGGCTTCTTGACAGGAGGCCGGCATGCTTTGGAGGAGGCCATGTGTGTGCAGAGTTCCCTCTATGACTCACTGGAGTTTGGCATTGGCTTGGCGGAAGCTGCCAAGGTTGAAGCGCCTTCATGGTCCCGGCCTGCCAAGAAAAAGGATGGAAGTTCATGGGTGTCTCACCTTCCGGATGATGGTGTGCTGCTGTCCCCAAAGGTTGAGGTTTTCCGTGATGGTACCAATGAAGGCTACACGTTCAGAGATACAGTGACAGTCTTGAGGGGCGTTGTGTCGGTTGCCATGCCAAACTGCAATGAGAAGATGTCAGACTCGCCTGTTGATGCCAACCCGGATGGTGAAGGCTATAAAAAGCAGCTTCTTCAGAAGTGGGTTGCAGTGCTGACGGCTGCTTCATCGTGTCAAGAGGCCACGACATTGGTTGTTCCGGATGCAGGTTGCGGAGTTTTCTACAATCCACCTGAGGCTGTGGGGGAAAGCCTGGGCAAGGCACTTCAGCAATTTCGCGGTCGATTCGGACGTGTGGTGATTGCATTTCCAGGGGGTAAAGCAGGTGAGACATTTGCAGCGGCTGCAGCTGCAGCTTTTCCACCAGATGGCGACAAAAGTTGATAGGAGTCCAGCGGTGGTTTTTTGAAATTGAATCACGCATTTAGACACCTAGGTTGGGCAGTAGGTGTGCTTCTATGCCACATTATGCCACATTATGCCACATATGCGGCCGCAAGCTGCCCCTAAAAGTCTGGGGCTAAGGGCTTGCTGGAGAGTTCACTCGCAAGAATCTGCGAGCTTCTCCGGGCTCCTCCCAGTATGATTATCTGAATTTGTCAAGTTTACTGTTTCAGTCCTTGCACAAAGTTCGTCAAAGTTCAATTTGTTCTATGCTGGAGCTGCAATATGCAGCTCAGCAAGACAGCCTCTCCGAAGACCAGAGCTGAAAGGCTGATCCATGTCCAGGAGGTGGAATTCTGCGTGCTCTGTCTCTCTTTCTCTCTCTCTCTATATGTATATATGTGCCGTATAATGACTTGTTTTTGCTTTATGGTATGTAGCGTTCGCTTGCAGCCCTCACTTCAAGACCCACATTGCCAAGGTCAGCAGTCATCAGAATGATGCTCGCATTGCTGATATGTGACCCGACTGCGGCTTCTCAAGCCCTAGAAGAAGTTCTGTCAGCCACGCCTCGTAGTAGTTTTTGTGGGGCAACATCCGCAGGATCCGCAGGTTGCATGTGCTTACCACAACTCCAAGCTCCAAGGGTGCGCTTTTCGCAGGTGCTCTCTACTACTTCAGGCCGCTAGCAGCAGCCCCAGCCGGGATTCACTTGCCTTTTTTCGATTCTTTTGGTCGGTCTCCAGCTTAGTCAAAGAACGTGACTGTACTGTACTGTACTCTACTCTACTCTACTCTACTCTACGCTATCTATCTATCTATCTGTCTATCTATCTATCTATTCCAGAAAAGGATACTGCTGCTTCAGGGTAGAACTTACTCTTCTACACTTCAGGTTTCTCCATTGCTACCATGACCAATCGCAACAAGCACACTATCCTCCACCTTGCTGCCATGCGCGGCCACGCATCCACTTGTTGGTGCCTCAGTATGTTCAAGCTGCGGATGCCTGGATGCAGCTGTGCAGACATTCTACGATACTGTTCCATGCAGCAACAAGCAAGGCGGTGAGATACTGCGGTGCCCTTCACGCGCCAACTTTCTTCTACAAGCACGGGATGCCACTTGCAAAGCTGAGACTTTTTGTGACATGACAGGTCACAATGAAGCCTGAACACCCGTTTTGTGTTGAGCAAGCGCCTGTTGATGTTGTTCTGGTGTTCTTTGCAACGCTCGTTGTCCGCTTTGCTTCAAGAATGAGGTTTATGGCATGAATGCTGCGGACATGGCAGCTTGTGGTGGGTGGGATGCTTTGGCCACCTATGCACAACCTTGAATGTAGTTCAAGTCGGCTGTTGTTGCTCCATCCTTGCAGGCACGATGAGCTTGCCAGCAGTCTGGCGAGCACGTTGTCTGGACTTGGACAAAAATGCAGAAATAAGTCCAGCAGACTGCCGATGCTGGCTTTGTCATGAGTCATTCTGTTGCGATTGCAATACACAGATGGCATGCTAGTCATTCTCAGATTAGCTTCGTGTTTAGCAATCTTTGTTACTGGTTGTGGATCAAGTTTGTAATGGAGCACTGATGCTTTCTGCAGTTTCACATCTCAATCGACAATTTCATACAACAGTGGTCCCTTGAGCTGGGCGCTTTGTGGGTACTTCTTTGCTGCAAGGACTTGCCAGACAGTCATCCACCACATGCTACTTTTCCCTTTGCATCTGGGCAGGAAGCAGCAGCTGCAGAGATTGCAGCATGCACGAGCCTCAGAGATTTGTGTTGACTTTGGTCTCTACATCTCTGCCTCGCAGGGAGATGCTTCCACGAGCGGTCCAGAACTTGTCGGACCGTGTGTTTTCAGCATCATACGGCGGATCTTGAGCCTTGGCCGAGGCCAAGTTCCGAGTGAAAGTTAGCATCATCCGTTCAAGTCTCAGTTTTGCATGCGTTTTAGCGACCATCAAAGTGTGGCCGGCTACCTCCAAGGTGCCAGCAACCTGCGGCCAGCCGACCTCTCCTTGATTGGCCAGAGCAAGTGATGATCCTACCCGACCTAGTTTGCTTTTTGTTTTTCAATGTGAGGGCGTTCATGCTGAAAGCTTTCCAGGTCGGACCCCTATTGCATTTGCAGACTCGCTGGGCAGCTGCCTCGACTGAAGTCCTTGGTGCAATGCGTTCTGGTTGGAACCTACTTACTCCCAGGCGGCCAGAGACGCAAGTGAGAACCGCGACCATCATGAAGACGCAGCAATCTTGGGGGTGAGCAGTGAGCTTCAATCTTGCAGACATTGGTTCAGCCGCAGTTTTGCCAAGTGCTTGAAATTTCCATTCCATTCGCATTTGCCGTCCCTTGATGAATTGCCTTGGCTCTCAGAACCTGTAGTGTGAACGATGCAGATCTTGGTGTTGAACTTCTCAGATAGTTAGTAACCGGGTCTTGTGTGACGGTGACAGCTAGAACCAAAGTCAGGTGTCTAAGTCTGTATATAAATTGGACCTCCCTCGTAGCCACGTAGCCACGTAGCCATGTCCACAACGACTGGTCTTGCCGGAGACGCTTTTGAGGCCTTCAAAAGTGGGAACCACCAGCAGTGTGGTAAATGCCTGGAGCAGATCTTAGGTCAGAAGACAGGTGGAGCAGATGTCAAGGCGGCTCACAATGCAGCCGTCAATGCATACTACAATTCTAGCTGTTCGGATCCGCAGGATCTTCTCAGCAAACTCTCCACCCAGTACGACCGAGCTCGAGAGCAAGACAAGAAGGACAAGGGAAAGCGAAAAAAGGAGGAAGACGAGGAGGATGCCATGCGTGACGATGATGATTTGTATGTGCTGAGGTACAATCAGGCACTCCTGTGTGTCCAGCTGCGGCATTATGCCCAAGCGAGGCACATTCTCGAAGAGCTTTTCGATAACATCGAGCCAATTGATGACTTCCTGGCCATCAAGATTTGCTTTCTCCTCCTGGAGCTGTGTTTGCTGCAGCGGGAGCCGGAGCAAGGGGTGCCAGTGTTGCAGGTTCTTGAGAAACCCAACGCCTTCCATAGCCTTCTGAAGCCTGAACGCCCTAGTGCTAAAAGCCTGGAGGCGCCTCAAATGGATGAGGAGGAGGAAGGAGAAGATGGCCACTTGCGAGACGAGGATGGGGAACCAAAGGAAGACCTAGAAGCCACAGTAGCTGAACATGTTGACATACCCAAGCCTGAAAAGCAGGAGATTCACGGACCTTTGCCCAGCCTTGTGTTCGGAGCTTTCTTGACGAGACACGGACGAGCTCCCGACACCATCTCGCCTGCAGAATTCAAATTCAACTGCTTTGTGTACCGGCTTCGGATCCACATTGCATTGAGGAGCATGAGTGCCGCCAAAAAGGATGCCAAGAAAGCCATGGAGCTCTGGGAGCAGCTGCAAGGCGTGCCCATCCTTTGGCCTCATAAACTCAACGAGGCAGAAGACATGCAGGAGGACCCTGTGAGGCAAGTGTTTACCTCCCATGAGAAAGCCAAAGTGCACATGCTCAAAGCGTACTTGGAATATGCCAAGGGCAATTTCCGCAAAGCGCTCAAGCTAATGTCACTTTGCCGCTTCAACTTTGCAGCGGCTGGCAAACCTATGGAAATCGGGCGGGCTGCTCACAAAGATGATGACGTTGAGGATCACATACCTACAGACTTTCATCCAGCTCAAGATGATGCTTGCTCCCCTTTGTTCTTCAACAACATGGGTTGTGTGCACTTCATGATGCACAAGCCAAATTTAGCAGCATACTACTTCAGCAAAGCCCTTGCAAAGTCAATAGCTCCCGCACAGTCAAAAGGAGCTGCTGGTGATCCTGGCAGAGATGTGCTTCTGTCTGCCCGAACTGGGTTGGACGAGCCAGGCTTCGCGGCTACAAAGCATTGGCTCGACAAACGATCTGAAATCACATTCAACGTGGGGCTTCAGTTCTTGTTGACCGGTCGATCTGCCCAGGCCTCCAAGTGCTTCGAGCAATGTGTACCAGTTTTTAGGAATTGGCCCAGATTGTGGATTCGAATTGCCGAATGCTGCATTGAATTGCGACAGTCCAACAAAGCTGGGGACAAGAGCAAAGAAGCACAACCTACCGGACCTGCCTCTCAGACCTTCCAGTCATGGAATAGATCAAAGACTGCGCCAGGCTTGGTGCCATCAGGAAGTTCTCTTTGTGATTCCCTTGGCCCAACCGCACTTGGATCAGGGATTTCAAAGTTGGCATGTGGAGCACAGGGCTTTGGCATTCTCAGACGCGTGCTTATGATGGTCGACAAGATGAGCATGGTTGGGAAAATGGGGGGAGAGGATGTAGAGCGTACTGGGCCTGCAGGGGCTGCACCAGCACCTCCTGGTCGAAGTGATGATGTGGTGACCGACCCCTTGATAGCTGCAGCAATGTGCCTGAAGAATGTGCTCATCCTGGTTGAGCCCACCCTTCGTGCTGCTGACGCAGACGGAAGCTCTCGGCAAGCCTCAGGTAATTCAAAGCCAGGGCCGAACGACACTGCAGCTCGGCTTGGCTTTTCACTTCAAACTTCAAACAGCTTGTTAGCATTGGTGGGACAGGATTTGATTGTGGCCCAAGCCTGTCTAAGGCAGAGATTGAAGCAAACTTGCTGGAGGATGCAGCACTGCTCAAGCTCTCATGGATTTCTTTGTGCCGCTTGGTGTGACATTGTGAGGAAGTAATGCAGGTAAAGACATGACGATTCACGTGAGCTGAGGTCAGCGTGATCATGTGCCAGCCCTGCGATATAGCAAGCGGCTTCTAGCACCTTGGACCCCCTTAGTTGACGCCAGAGCAATTCTTTGGACATCCAGGAAACCAACATTTGCCTTTTCAAAGTCCAAAGTGCAGATCTGACAGGAAAAGAACAACCTGCTTATTCCATCGAGTGGGGACAACACATCTCGGATGACTCCCGAAGCTGGACTTGAGACTTGTCTGAAGCTGTTCTCGAATGTTTTACTGTAGTTTATTTCGTCTATATAAATTTGACCAGACACGAGTCCAGTCCACATCTCACTGAGGAAGATCTGAAGAAGAGTTGGACGTTTCAGGCAGCGTTTAATTGTGGCTTTTGGCTTTGCGCTTCTTGAAGGCAATGACTTGCGCACCAGTGCAACTTGGAAGCCAAACTGCTCCAGGTTCAGAACCTGCCGTATTCCAAAGACAAACAGACTGTGCAGTCCAAATTTCCTTCCTCCATGGGCAGCATCGCCAGCGCGGTGTCGTATGCAGCCGAAGTCGGCTTCCCAGTTCTCTTTTCTGGGGGGTTGAGGAGCAATGATCAGATAATCCATTTGCAGCTTTTTGTCCTGAGGCTTTGTTGATGGGGGGACGAGCTGTGGAGGCCCACGAACTGCTGTGCACTTCTTTTCCAAGGACTGTCAATAAATGATCCTCAACAGAGCCACAGGCACGACAGCTGATGTCAACCTTTGGTGAGAAGTCCCTTGGCAAAGGTCTTCACCTCCAGGCCGTGGACTTCTTGTAAGATCTGTAAATTGTTCGTACCGCGATGCTTCTCGACAGGCCCAGCATGTCCAGGATCAAGAGAAGAGCGCACCGCATTCGGTGCCCGTCCTGGAGAGAATGGATAAGAAGGAAGAGGGGCTCTTTGAAGGCATGTGAAGCTCACTGAGACTGATGTGAAGACGGCGCTGCCGTCGAAACTTCCCTGCTCTGTGAGGCTGCCCTGCACAGGCCTGTGGTGCCTCGCTTGCACTTCTGGGCTCCCTCATACCCATCCTGCCAGTCTGCTTGATTGTGTGCCTATGCCCGCTGGACCGAGGTGGTGGACTGCCACCGACCGCCTCCATGGGCGGACTAACTCCACCTGGCTACTCGATTTGCTGTGCTGCAGCAACGCACCAGCCTCATCAGGCCAAATCTTGAGCATTCTTTTCTTCTTTTCGCTAGCCGCGAGTAGTAAGTGGGAGGCCTTTAGGTGCGAGGTACGAGACCACCGCTTTTGGGTGGGAGGCCCTCGCTTTTAGGTGGGAAGCCATCGCTACTAGGTGGGGGGCCATAGATAGTAGGTGGGAGGCCATCACTAGTACGTAGTCTGTTCTTCTTTTAGCCCGAGCTGCTTTCAGTCTGACTGGCCGCGACAGGGAAGGGACCGCGATGCAAAGGGAGAGACAGAGAGAGATAAGGGCAAGGCAGACCTGGCATTCTTCGATGCTTTGTGTGGCCGCAGAATTCTCAGATTGTCAGCATGGCAGGATGGGGCCTTTGCAGTCTTGGTGAATTATGAAAACGCATCTTTCCCTCCACTGGGAGATATGCAGCGCCTCGACTTGCAAGCGACTACTTCAACAAGCACCCAAGTGCAGTGAGTGCAGGTTGAGGGCAGAATCAGCTGTGTTTTTGTTGACCCGTGGTGATCAGGTGCACGATGTTCACAAACCTCGCGGATGCTTAGCGCACAAAGAAATTGACAATCCAGTTTGTTTTGCAGATGTTTCATGATGTTCCATAGTTCTTGAATATGTGTCTAACGGTGTTCATTCATACCAAAAACATCATAACACGCAGAAATGAAACATAATAAAACTGGGCCCCATCCCGGAGCCTGGCCACTGGGTGTTGGCGCCAGCTCAGCTCAGCCAGTATTTTTTAAAGTTGTACTTGAGCCACCTTCTGTAAAAGGTTTGCATACAAAAGGCGTTTGTGCGCGCGGGCGAGACACACCTCCACTTGTGCCGGGTGCGAGCTGCGTGTGTTTGCTACGGTGCCCTTGGTGTTGAGCCTTTGCCGCTTGCTGCACGCTGGGGCAGCGCTTTTGCCGAATAGCAAAGCCAGCTTTGTGCTTAGTGTAGATCGAAGGAAAAGCAGGACGAGTAGGAGGTTGATGAGGTTGATGCGACAGATGAAGTGGGGAAGAGAAGGAGGCAGATCAGAGGAAGGGAAGAAGAGGAGAAGGAGGAGGAGGAGGAGCAGGAGGAGAGGGGGAGGATTGGGTGCCAACACCAAACAACAACAACAACAACAACAACAACAACAACAACAACAACAACAACAACAACAACAACAACAACAACAACAACACCAACACCAACAGCAACACCAACACCAACACCAACACCAACAGCAACAGCAACAGCAACAGCAACAGCAAGAACAAGAACAAGAACAAGAACAAGAACAGCAGCAACAACAACAACCCACAGCAACAACAACCAACAGCAACGCCGACGCCGCCGACGACGACGACTACTACAACTACAACTACGACTACACTACTACACTACTACAATACTACTCTACTACTCTACTACTCTTCTACTACTACTACTACTACTGCTACTACTACTACTACTACCTCTACCTCTACCTCTACCTCTACCTCTCCCTCTACTTCTGCCTCTGCCTCTGCCTCTGCCTCTGCCTCTGCCTCTGCCTCTGCCTCTACCACCACTACCACTACCACTACCACTACCACTACCACTACCACCACGACCACGACGACGACTACCACTACGACTGCCACTACGACTACCACTACGACTACTACTACGACTACTACGACTGCTACGAGTACTGCGACTACTACGACTACTACTACGTCTACTACGACTACTACGACTACAACTACCTACTACTTCTACTACCACCTACTTACTACTAACTACTAACTACTAACTACTAACAACAAACCAGTAACTACTACTACTACTACTACTTCTACTGATGCTGCAACTGCTACTACTACTACTACGACTACTACTACGACGACGACGACTACTACTACTACTACCTCTACCTCTACCACTACCACTACCACTACTACTGTTACTACTACTACTACTACTTACTAACTACTAACTTCTAACTACTAACTATTATCTACTAACTACTACTAACTAACAAACTAGCTAGCGAGCCAACTAACTAACTAACTAACTAACTCACTAACAAACAAACTAACCAGCTAACTAACTTAACTAACTAACTAACTAACTAACGAACTAACTAACTAACTAGCTAGCTAACTAACTAACTAACTAGCTAGCTAACTAACTAACTAACTAACTACTAACTACTACTTACTACTCCTACTTACTACTACGACGACGACGACGATGACGACGATGACGACGACTACTACTCGTACTACTGCCGCAACTGCTGCGACGACTACTACTACTACTACGACGACAACTACTACTACTACTACTGCTGCAACTGCTACGACGACGACGACTACTACTACGACTACCACTACTACTACTACTACCACTAGTTCTACTACTACTACTACTACTACTACTGCAGGCCCACCAACACACATCTTCTTCCTTTGTCCCTACTCCTTCCTACCAACAAGAACCGCAGCCCAGTTGTTTTTAAACCTCCCCTCCAAAACAACAAACCCGCACTGGAATACTAGTGTATCTAGTGGCTTGGCTTGCCCTGTGTGGGGCCGGTTGGTTGACCTAGCGGCAGCGAGTATTTTTGGGAGCTTTCGACGCGGAGCGACGCTGGCTGCGGCATGCGGCAGTGAGCTACAGCAGTACGAGCTTTTGTGGCCTTCTTTGCAAGCAGGGCTGCCACAGAGGGAGGGAGGGAACGAGGCTGGGAGGGAGAGAGGCAGGGAGGGAGGGAGGGAGCGAGGGAGGGAGGGGCGAAGGTGGAGCACAATCTCTCTCAAAATTATCCAGGGTAAAAGGTGGGAACGCTACCCGGAAGAAATTTGAGTGCCAAGTGCAGCAACTACTGGCTTTCACAAGGAACTTGCAGGCTCAAGGGTCAGATGCAATTTCACTTGCTTGGCCACTAAGGGCGTGTATGCCCAGGATGGTGCCTTCGAGGACCCGAGAGCTGTGCTTGCACGAAGATGGTCCCAGTGATTGCTTGATGAAGTTGAGACGTCCCCGGCAATCAGGAAGCACAGAGGGCTTGCGAAAAGGCATTGCAAATCCAGCCGAAGGCACTTTTGCCACTGCGGACGTGCCTCGGGATCAAGTAGAATCACATGCCTCAGACATGATGACTACCTTGGCCTTGGTAGCATAGGTACATTCTCTCAATTTTGATCGCACATTAGAGCTGAGGCTGGCCTACTTGTATGTGAGGAAAGGAATGCCAGGCGAATTGGGATTGCATAGGTCCTAGGTACCCTCAGCAACACAGCGGTGAGGTGGTCGAAGACATCAACATGTTGAACAAAATGGTGCATGCAATTTGAGAGACCCGCAGGCGAGGCTATGAAGCGCCTGAAAGAAGGGCAGCCTAGGAAGTAGAGGTGCATAGTTCGAGGCAAAAGTCCCGAGAGATGGCACCATGCAATGGGTGAAAAAGGGCATGCTGAGCTTGTTGCATTGCATCCTTAGAATTGACATACTGTATATAAATTTCTTCTCTTGCTAGCATAGCCACAGGAGTGTAACGGACTCAAGTCTCAAGTTTGGGTGAGGCTAGATCCAAACTGGAAATTTGAGTGTGAGATGCCTTGCATGGTGGGGATCTCAGCTGCAGTTGAAGAGACTGGAAGTTAGACATTGTGCTGGCTTTCCGCTGAGAAAACCACAGATGCGCTGGAGTTCCAAGTGATGGACTACGATACAATTGGGCCTTCGTCTTGGGTTTTCTGGGCAACACCACATGCAGAGGCTAAATGTCTCTGGACCAAGGGCAGATGATCTTCTTGGTCCAAGCCTGTGAGTCAATAGCAATGTGCTGTAGGATTTCAAGCACAGCTGTGTCGCGCAGCATGTTGGCAAAGGCAACCTGGAGCTTACCTTTGACCAGCCAAATGCCCAATGCAATCAGCATCCAACACCTCAGATCCCATGCGCAAGCCAGCTGTTTCTTTCCGTGTTCCCAAGGATTTATCCTGGTGGCATTGATGATGCTTTGGTGGTCGCCTCACCATTTGAGTTTGTAAAGTAGCTGTGGCTGCGAGAGGGGGACGTTTGCTTGACACATGCTTAGGAGTTAGTAGATCCTGCACGAAAAGATGGCAAGATCGCCACCTTGCGACTGAAGGTGCCAAACGACATGTTTGAAGAAAGGCATAGACAAGGCACCACCTGATTGCTATGATTGGTGGTCGTGCGTGATCTTGGAAAGGTGATCCCTGAGTGCCATTCTGAGCTTTTGGGCGGCCAATTTAGTTTTTCAACAGCAACCCAGCCGCGTGCCAAGGCTGATAGAAGCTCCTGCTCCAGATACTCGGTGCTTCGTGACAGTGTTCAAAGCAGAGGCCGAGTGGACCGCTCTTCAGATGTCTTTGTGTGCAGCGCCCTTCTTTGCAAAAGGAGGGCCATTCTTTTTTTTGATTTTTGTATCATTTATGGCTTTTGGCTCTCTCCGGTCGCCTGGCCTCCTTGTCCTTTGGTCCCTCGGTCCTCTGGTCCCTTGCTGTGGGCTTTGGGCGGTTTCTGTGGCTTGTGTGGCTTTCGGCTGGGGATTGGTTGCAGGTTGGCTTTTGACGGCTTGCGTTTGTTTGGTCCTCGTGGATTTTGTTGAGTTTGATGGCTAGGTTTTGATAACTTCAATATGTTCGTTGGCAGTTGCAGTAGTATTTTTTCAGTGGCTTGTCACTTGGTTTGCTCTTGGGGAGATGCGCTGCGCCAGTTCTTTATTCAAACCAAACCAAGTCAACCAAAGCAAAAACACAACTGAACCACAGCCGAAGTAAAGCCAAGCCCATGACCTGTCGCCACTATTTAAAAACTACACTCCTCAGAGGGACTAGGAGACTAGGGAACCTTCCTAAAACCCCATGAGCAACTTAGCAATGCCCCAAAAAACAATGTGTAGATATATTGCAAACTATTGCAAAACTAAGGAGTAAAACAACTTCAAAACTAATACGGTACTGTAGTAGCCTTTTCAAAATGACTGGTCGCCTTTCACATCGATAGATCGTCTTAACAGGCTGCTAGCCGCTTCTGCCTGTAGCGTTGCTCTAGCATCATAAGCCGAGCTGCAGGCTTTGCGTGCAGCCGATTGGAGTCTGTTTGGTGGCAAATCTGATCCATATTGCATCGTCAGCATCCCAGTGGTCTTTCAATGAGAAGCCCGTAGTACCACTGAAGCAAGGTCAGCATACCGAACAAGAAACATTCAGCCTGGAGAACGAGGGTCATGTACAAGGTCAGCTGCTCAGAGGTGCCACTATACCTCCAACACGGCGCCATGTTGTTGGGGCTCTATTTGTTCTCTTTTGATTGGTTGCTGGGTGCCTGAGGAATTAAATCCGACCTGGGACGAAGAGGACGCCCGTTTGCATCGAATTGAGCTGCGCATTTCTTGCAACATTTTTTTTTAAGGAAGAGATGATCGGCTATGAGCCTGGCGACCCTTTAAAGTTCCAGGTCTTAGACTACGACGAAAAAGGCGATGCAACTGTGATTCTGTGAATGCAATCACATACCATCATGGTTTGCGGAATTCAATCTTTTGCAGAATGCCATGTTGAAAGAATCCTTCGTTTGGAACTCGCCATGTTGCTGGGTAGACGACGATGACAATCTTGGACAAGCATTGCTCCAGAGCAGTGACTTTCACCCAGAAGGTTTTGAAGGCTTGAGCTTTGGCTTTGTTCGCTGCGTTGGCTTTTTCCAGTTCTTTTCCATGTTCAACGCCCCTCTCCTTTCTGTGTGTTCCTTGTCAGGAGAGATCAGTATTGGTGAGGGCATTGTGTTGGAAGCACAGAGCGTGCCTTTTTCTTATGAAGCATTTGCTATGATGTCCCTTTTGAGGCATGTTCGGATCGAGATTGTTGTGCCAGAAGTGGATGAGGAGGTCATTGACCCTGCTGGACATGTAGGCCACCTTGCCCGATTTATGCCACAGGGCTAGCAGCCGCATGAAAGTCCACAAACTATAGTAGTGGGCTGAATGTGCTACACAAAATTTCAATATGATTGAAATGCTGCGGTTCGAACCCCACAGTTTCACCAGAGTAAGAGTTGATGGCAGGACCACGGGCAACTCGCTTGCAAGTATGCTGGGGTTATATACTGGAAAGTGCTTTGGAGAGAAAGTGTGAGATGTTTGGGAAGTCAGGATCGTGAGCCTGCCCCCTTCCAGCTCAGAAGCTTGGCCCCAAGACAGGAGGGGGAGCAGACTTACCCAATTGCAGCCAAGCAGTAGCTTATCTTGGCCTGAGGCATGGACAGCGGACGAACGCCAGATGCAAAGACTGTGGAAGGGTTGAGTCAATGCTCTATGCCTTCTTGGGCTTGTCTCAGAACGAATCTGGACAGCTTTGAGTTGAAACCGTCCTAGATTCTGCACAATGAGGCACCGCCTCGTGGCCTCCACAAGAATAGGTTACTTGGCTGACCTCTCAGAAGTGTTCAGGGCGTAGCCAACCTTGTTTGCACATCCCAGGCCGTAGCAGGAAAATGCTCGAAGATAAGATCGATCTCGTTCTAGACTCACCTGGCAATTGCGATGTGCAGAGCCAAGGGTGGGTTGACAGGAAACTGTTGTGAAATGACAAGGTGCATGCTGTTTGTGGATCCGAATTCGGTTTCAGGTCTCCAGATTGCATGCCATCATCAAGTGCTGGAGAGGGCACGCGTCTCAACCTTCTCAGTTGTTGCTGGAGTAGGTGTGTTTCTTGGTTGAACGGGGAAGTAGCAGCGAAGCGCTTGTAAATCTACCAGTGTGCTGTCGCAGGCCTGATCCCAACACTTGGCTGTCACGAATCTATGACGAGAAGGTCCAAGACGGCAAGACACCGCACTGATTGAACGTGCCCGCTTTTCACGAAAGGTAGCCTGGTAAGGGCTAGCTTGAGTTTGCTTTGCGAAGCAAAGGGGTTAGCTTGAATAGCCTGCTCGGGACCAAATATATATATATATATATATTTATCAATTCTATTCACCCCCCTCCCTCCAATGTTATGAATATTTGATTAATTAAATTTTGGTGACCCTCCCTCCCTCGCCAGCACCACTATCATCACCCACCTACCATAGCGTCCATTCACTGGCAGTAACAGCAGTGCTCCTACAATGAGGTTGTGCAACAGGGCTTCGACGCAGTGGGTGCAGCTCTTACACATGCCAGCGTTTACACGCCACAACTTTAGCGCAAGCCAGTGTTCACACACCATATTGCTCTACACAAACGAGCTTTGACGCAACACAGCCTCTACTCAAAGCCGTGTTGACAAACCTCACCACACCACATGCACTAGCAACCTTTCCTCGCGACCCAGGTCACTCTTATGCACTTGCGCAGTACAGTTTGGCACCAGGCAATTCTTACACACCACGGCTCTCACATACACCAGTGTTGACAAGCCTCCACGACACCACATGTTGTAGCAACCCCTCCTCTCCGACATAAGTCCCTTCTTTCACACACCACACTTGATACACCACTCATACATCCCTGGTACCTCTCTACCTTTTGTGTTTCCCTGTCTCAAGCGTGTTTCTTGTGTTGGTCAGGGAGCAGAAGGAGGTGCTGGACAGGGCCCCGGCGGTGGCCATAGCGGTGGAGGAACGACGGTTGACGGCGAGCAGGTGGATCCTGTGCTAGGCTGGGTCGGCTGGGTCGGCTGGGTCGGCTGGGTGAGTGGTCTGCATGGACCGGCGTTCCTCCGTTTTTGGTGCCAGGAACCCCGCTGGAAACTGGAAGCGTGCCTCGACTGGAGAAAGTACGGCTGAAACGCACGTTAAGCAGGCTATTGAACTCACAAGAAGTGACAATGATTGTGCAGGTATTGAGGTTTGGTGTCCGTGAGATGTGGGTTTTTGAGCCATGAGCCAAGATTGGGCTTGCCGATGTTGAATGGCCTTGAAGGTCAACATGCTTCCCGCTTTAGTCGTTCGTTGACAGGCGTGCTCCCATGCACCTTCGTAGTCAGGCCGAGCAGTTGCACCAGAGCAAGATTGATGCAAGTTGTGTTGAGCGCAGGATGCTGAGATTGCATGCAACAAAGCTGCCGCAAACTCGCAGGAGGACCGCTTGGAAAGGCAAGAAACGCAAAGCGGGGGTCGATTGATCTCCACTTGATGCAGTTTCAAGCAGCAGGTAGAACATGGTAGAAACATCATGACATCCAACTCCAGGACCCAAGCCTCATAAGAACTCTCAAGATACCCAGCCGGGAGCTCAAAAATGCCATTGCCGGTGCTCCTCTGTTCCGTTGCCCTCAAATCGAGGCAATGCTGTTGATTCGGCGCTGCAGAGATGTCCAGACTGGTTTTCGATCGTACGGGTTTGGCA